GGCAGCTGCTCAAGCTGCTAAAATCAACAAGGTGTTTTCCTGGAGGCAGGATCTCTCTCCTCTTCCTTCCCTAACACTTGGGAAATACTGCAAAGGCTTTACTGAAATGCTTATTCCGATGAGTGGAAATCCAGAATATTTTACTTCAGGAGAGTCATCACGATTAGCTAACTTGCGAATTTTGGACACAAATCTGTTTTTTATTCACTACAGAGTTTATCTGGATGCATTTTTTTCCTCATAATAAATGGAAAAAAAAGTTTTGAAAGTTTTCATAATTAATTCCACAACGTTGTTTTCTATTTATCTTCTTTCACCTACCGGGTAACTTCATAAATCTTTACTGATTTATTAGCCAATAATCTTTACTGGTTTATGGTTTTGACACAGAACTGTTGCTTTTGTTATATCCATCCAACAAAAATGGCTGTAAGGCAGAGTAAGGAGATGCCTAGACATTGAAATAGTTGAATTTAGTGAAAAATGACTGAGATTTAAAAACTTAATTTCTGTGTAGGCCTGGGGTGGATTCTTCAGCATTCAGTACTATGTGCTGTAGCATCCTTGTAACCTGCAATGTTTACTGCTCATTAAGATAAAATATTCTAAAAAATAATTCATTGATCTCTCACTTCACCTCTCCCTTTGGCTACAATGGATATGAATCTTCAAAGACCTTTTGTAAGAAGGATGCTAAGTAATACAGACTTTTAAAGCATGTTTTCTGACTGGTAGAAAAACACACCTCAAAATCAAGTTTCTGGGTGTGATGTCACATGCTTCCCCCCATCAGTTAAACAAAGATGTACCCAAGTATGAGCCAATTCTGCTATTTTGCTCTCCTTAAATTTCCCGTGTTCAGTGAATTAGTCCCAAAGCAGGTCTGGTGTCAGCAGGGCTGACACCATGGAGTTCTTCCCACTCTGCCGTGTCTCTCTGTTAAAACCCTAGTCATGGTTTTGACGAATTCCAATTTTTATAAACTGCAGTCAGTTAACTGTGACAGTCAGCACAATCACGTTATCCCTGATATTTTCAGGACATTGCCCATCACCCTGACAATTCTGTGAAAAATAGTGAAGGCTCCATCTGTATGGCTGGCAATGGAGAAACACAGACCCATGCTGTGGCTTCGAGAGGAGTTACACTAAAAACAAGCAAATTCCTCCTTTCCTCATGGCTATTTTCTTTATGCAGACAGTAAAAATAGCTATGGCTACTGAGGGGAAAATCTGCGAGTATTGCTGTGCATTACCCAACACGAACTCTTTCTAGGATACAGCAGGGAATGTGCTACTAGTTCAGTCATCTTCCACAGCACAAACCCAGGCTCAAGTTAACACAGCAAACATAAGAATATATGGTAGAGATGTGGCCAGATTTAATGTTCTTGTTCCTGATCATCTCATGGCAGTTGCTAAGGAGAGATACAGCAGGATACATGGACATTTGTATATGCCCCCCACCCCTGCCCTTATTTTTGCTTAGAAAGGTTAAGATGACATGAAAAATAATCAGCTTTCTGTCCAAAATCTTAACTGAGAAACATATTCCTGAGGTAAAAAAATGAATTATTTATGTACAGGTCCGGAAAAGAGGCTTTTAAAAGCCTCTAACTCTGAGCCTCAATTATAAGAAGAAGCTCCTGTACTTGCTTCAGTCCAGCTTTCACAGAACTGGAGCAGGAGACTGCTAAAAATCACTTAAAGAGAAGAAAGTAAAAATTATTATAGGTGCACTTAATATGTGCATCAGCAAGTGAAAAAAAGACCCAAACCACTGTAAACGTTTAAATGTTTGAAGTGGTTTTGCATTTTTTTGTGTAGCATTAGCAAAAATACACTCTCCTCTAATTTAATTTTTGTGCATTCCTCCTCGCAGTACGGACATAAGGCACAGTCATTCAGGAGAAGTCACTTTTGAATACTTTGATGATGTCTTTTCTGTTGTGCAGATATTTTAATTTATATGTGACTGTCTGAAATGATGTACAGCAGTTTCCTTGCTAAGAGTTATGAATATCTCTTAGTTCAACAAAAGTAGTGAAGAAACCAGTCTGAGAGACAGGTTTATTAAGGAAATGAATATGCTTTAGATAAAGAAAGCAGACTTTTTATGACACCTGATTCAGCTCATCCTCTGTCAATTTAGCTTATAAAAACAGATGATTCTTACTCAAGTCAGTAGAGATATGTCTTTTTCTGTACTTCTCACAAATCCTCTTCTTCCAAGTATTTTAAAGCCCAAAATTGAGCTCTAAGTGCCTTCATTTGAGTACCACAGATTTGCAAAACAACCCCTTGAGCTCTGGCAGCATTTCCAAGTAATTCTTTAAACAACAGCACTCTGAAATAATTTCCTTGCAGAAAAGAACAAAAATGGAACAAATACTGGTTAGTCTGTATTTTAACTTTCCCTAATGGCTCTAGTATCCAGTTCTTGGAGCACACACACCTGCTCAACGCTGCTCAGGCTGCAACAATCTCATCTTCTATGTTGTCCTTTTAAAATCAACTGAGTAACCTTGTTAATGAAGTTTCTGAGGTAGGTAGTGATACTTTAACTTAAGTGGCACAGCATTTTTCTTGACCCAGACCATATGAGAAGAAAACCAATGCAAAGACATATGGAAGAATTCACATCTGGTGGTGAGATTAAAAATGTCCCTCTGATTTTAAATAGTTGCATGCTGTGGGTTGCATGGCTAGGATTTTGTCTAAACTAGGTTACCATTTCCATGCAATAATCTTACCACTCCGAGACATTGAATAACCTAGTGTACTTTTATTAAGTAAATGGAAGCAGAGGTTAATGAACATTTATTGGACCAACTTAACACCTTGAAATCACAGGCATCAGTCAGACTGAGAGGCAGCATACTGATAAGATCAAGTTTTCTTTACAAATCTACGAGCCCCTGTACAAAAAAAAAGTATAAAAGGGGCAAACAGAAACGTTAGTTTCTTCCCAATCCCAGGGCTGCTTCTGAGGTCACATTCAGCATAAATTTAGAGAAGTCCGAGAGGCGCTCTAAATTATGCAGTGATATTTACAGTACTAGGAGGACCCTTCTCCAGTTGGAGATTGAAAAAAAATAAAAAACTGTAACATTAGCTCTGCACCTGCATGTGTCTTCCCTATGCAAGTGAGGCTTCCAGCTGAATTTATGCCCTCTACGTACCACACAAACAACAGAGATGCTTCAGAAGGGTTTGGGCAGGGCAGGAGGATTGGGCAGAACGAGGAGTCCTGGGCTTGCTCTGTGCTGAAACCTGCTCATGGAGCTCACTGGGTTGTGTGGATTAGCTGAACTTAAAGCCTAGGGGGGGTTAATCCATGTTAATCTTTTGCTACTGAAGGTTCCTAAAAGGAAAACAGTCTGTGGTAAAGAGGAGGCAGGACTCGACGCTAACTGATGTGCTTTACAGTTTTTGTCTCTTGATAAAAGGTTATACAGTGAGAAAAAAGAAACAAAGCTCTCCAAGTCAGTCTTTCTACTGTGTACTATTAACTGAATGGTAGCTCCACTTAAGAGAAGAAAGGCGTATTAGTTACATTAAATCACTACTTATTGTCATCTACATAAGGCAGAAGCACCCTCATGGGCCTTATGAGTTTTCTTTCCTTACAAGCTGGATACACAGAAACTCCAAGAAATTCACATCAACAGAGTCAAAAGTGTGTAGTTAAAACATTTATGATGGACTGTACTCGAATTATCAAAATTACTTTACCTGTTTAATGTCATAAACATTTTGAGATGAAAAACGTGTCACTGAAGTCAGATACCAATGCTCACCAGAGAAGTTTGTATTTCTAACATCAGAAACACTCCACTGCTTGATTTTCAGTAGGTCTTCCCATCTTTGTGCTTTACTGGGAAAAGAGGTAGTTCTGAGAGTGAATGAACCTTCGATGAGCTCAGCTAGTGTGTAATATTAACATTGCAACAGCTGGTCCTACAGGAACACTGGCTAAGGTTCATCCAGGACTAAAACAACACAGCACAACTACTTGGAAAATTACCTCTTACTCACTAAATAGTTCACAGTTTGCACTATCCCCTTTTTCAGGGGCTAAATTCAGAACAGATGAGCACCTACTATTACTCTGATAGGTTCCCTCTTGCTTATCGAGGCCCACGCCGATAGTTTCTCAGGGGTTAGTTACCACAAAACTACAAACTCAAGGGATTCAGTTACAGTTCTGGTTTTGGGACACAGCCCCAGCCCTGTGATTCCAGCTGGTTCAGCAGGTGGGGTAAAATGATGGATCAAGCTCCCTTCTGCCCCGTGGGCTGCAAGTCGGGCTGTGAATGCAGCTCAAAATAGAAACTTGCCTGCTCTGGCTGGATGGGAGGATGCCTGGCCAGATCTAGATTCTACCTATGGATTTTACAAGAATAGGGATTTGACCACCTGACCTACAGAAGGAGTAGGCAGGAAAAAATTAGCAAGAATTACCCCTATTATAAATGTTCAACCATGAGAACCTGTTATGATTACAACCCAGACAGCTGGAACAGCCCACGGATCCACTACAGCTGATAGTTCCACTCTGAGTATAAATCCCTTTAGAACACTGTATCATCTTAAAATAAACACTAAACTTCATACTATACAACAGCACAGCCAACCAAGCTCTGACGAGAAGTCATTTTAAGGAACATCATATTCTGACACCTAAAAAGAGGTGGCAGTGTTTGCTTCCCTTAACCATTTTCACTAAAAATGCAAACCACCTGGGCCAGCGAGAGCACGAAGAAGGGAAATAAAGTGCCAGGTCAATGCATGGTTATATTTTCTTACTTGGGTCTGCTCTAATTCTAACTTTGTTGAACCTGTGCTGGTCCAGGCGGAGCAGGGCCCCCGGACAGACTTGCAGTCTGGGCCCTACAAGGGCTTCCCTTACAGACTTAAAGACAATTTTTCTCACTGCACAAGTCACTGGTTTGTTCTTCAAACTCCCTGTGATGAAATGAAGGACCCAAAAGCATTTAATTGTTGAACACATAAAAGGAAGTATATTTAAAATAAAAAAAATTGGTCAGACTGTAGAGTCAATTACCATTTTTAAAGGAATTTACAGGGCTGTTGTAGATGAGTCTTTTGGAATAGTCAGTTTATCGCAATGCCTAAACTGGTTTCTTCATTGCACAGTATTTTCTTTTAAAATGTGTGCATCTTTAAACAATTACATACATATTAAAAATCAGCATTTCTTTGCTTAAACTGAATTAAAACGTTAATACTCTCAGACAACACAGATCTGAAATGGTGAAACCAGTAATTGCCCCCTCCCACCTTACAACAAATTAAATTGAGACAAAATTACAAACACATTTCACTACATGATTATTATTAATAAAAATCAGTTTTTCTTTTTTTTTTTTTTTTTTTTTATAAAGTTGCCCAAAATGCAAGGGATGTGCATAGGTTTACAACTTAAGTCAGAATAATATTTTACTTTATTCCCTTGGGTACGTGTTCCCATGAACGGAATGTACTTTGCTGTAGATTACAGGTTTTATCAACACAGATACACCAACGGCATGAACGCTTGCGACTGTCCACATGCATTAAGAGTCAAGACCCAATTTCAAATTTCTAAAAGTTTTACAGAGTTCTTCAAAGAGACAGTATCACATTATCTGGATGTTACACAAAAGTACTTAAAAATACTATCCTAGGAGAAAAAAAAAAAAAAAAAAAAGGCGAAAAAAGGCCTTTAAAATTTATGAATTTGTTTCGTAACCACTAGACTAATTACTTCAAATAAATAAAGGAAAGCAAAGTATTCCAATCCATAAAATCAGACTCTAAAAAGAATGTAGTGTTCCACCCCCAAGTTAAGGTAACAGAATCATATTATTATTACTATTAAAATAGATTATAGAAAGCAGCATCTATTTTGTGCAGTTTTTAGGGGCCCTTGAAATAAAAAGCTATGATTTCCAAAAATATAACATTCCAAAGGACTGAATAATACATATATTTAAAGATACATTTTATTAAAGTTTAGGAGAAATGATTAAAAAAAAGATACTGTCTCTTTAAATTAGTGTTTCATCTTTTTTTTTTTTCCCCCTCCTCCTATCTATTCAGACATGACAATAATTATATTTTAGGTCACACTACATCTAGGTAGTCTCTAGGGGCCAAGACCTGTTGACACAAGGTCAGTAACGAAGAGGTTTTCCATGTATGAGGTGGTTCCCAGTAATGACAGGTTGGTTTTTTGTTTCCTCAATCCTCTCATGCCCGGCTCTAGTAGACCCAGGAGACCGGGACCCACTGTGAGGCTGTACACACAAGCTCGATGGCTTCCTCCAGGTGCCTGATAGTCTCATCGATTTCATTGTTGATAATTGTTAGGTCAAAGTAGTGTGCATATGTTCTCTGTAAGATTTCAGACTCCTTCTGCAGGCGCTGAAGAGACTCGTCCTGTTCGCAGGGCAGGAAACAAAAGGGGAGAGAGAGAAGTTGGATCGTTTCGTGCTCTCCTACAACAGCTCCTCAACTGCGGCTCACGGAGAAGGAAACGGCCAAAAAAGCCCCAGGGAGGTCTAAGTGTTTCATCTCCCCCTCCTACATCTATGGGAGTCACACGGGAGAAACTGCACAACTTCCCTCTGGACGCCGACACTCAAACAGCACTTGGTTATTGTCGTGACTGGAGACAAAACACAGCTCTAGTGTTAAAAAAGCGAGGTAGAGGATGGAAGCTTGGAAAAAAAGCAGCACGGACATGAGCAACGGACACCATATATGAAAAAATTGGACAAAGTGCACAAATACAAGCTATTGGGCCTGTGTCCCAGTGAGAACACAAGAAATAGGAGAGGGTATATTGTCAGGTATCAGCTGTTCCCAGTTTTGGTAATGTTTGCTGTTCCACACCAATCTTCTGGGTCTACTTCCTTTAATAATCATTTACTGATAAGGAAGTTCTCACTCCACATGACTCCTCTGCGGTTCCTATCTCGGAGTGGGGTGTTTCCAGCACCTCTTAGTGTGAGGTCCTGGAGATGAACTGGGCAGAGAGCAACATCAGACTGCTGCTCACCTTGGCTCTGTGTCAATGCCTGCACAGAAGCAACTGCATCCTACTTTGTGGGTATCCTACAGGTCTCCGTGCAGCTCGAAATGCTGCAGCCACCGGCTCTGCTAGTGAGGTCTGCCTGCCTGAGGGAGCTGGATGCAAAAGGCTTCTTCCTAGGGCTCTGCAGCACTTCCAAATTTGAATTCTCTTACTGAAAATTCCCTGAAATTTTCCTGAAAAAAATCCAAACCAAAATATTTGCTGTTTTCAGGAACCTTGAAATAGCCATAGGAAAGCCATCAAGTTCTTCCTGGTCCCACAGGTTTGGGATGGATATGGTGCAAAATGACTCCTCCTGCCCTGTAGTATCTGTAGGCTCACTCTACTTGATCAATTAACTGGGACACACTTTACTAAGCAGAGTTTTAGGCTGCAGGAGATACAGATACAGTGCCCATAGCTTTTTCACTAGAAATGGGAATAGAATTTTATCCAGCTAAGGGACACGCCCTCCACCTTCTTTGTTCCTGTTTAAACTCCCAAGTATTTCTAATTACCGTGACAAGTAGCTGTGGAACAACAGCTTTCAGGTCCTTTGAAGGGAACAACCTGCACTGAGATAGTTCTCTTTTCCTGTAGCAATGAAACCAGCACTTCTGGAGGAGAAGTTCTGTACCAAAGTTACAGTTTTGCTTCTCTCCTGAGGCAAATTTCATTCCAAGTCAGACAAATACTCCTCACGCACACTTCTGTACAAGGAATGTTCCTTGTATGGACCATTCTGCATCTCCAGCAATGCCTGAAACTTCTGTAGAAAATACCAGTGTGTGCAAATTTAGTTTATGCTATTAGCAGACAGAACAATATGGATGAATACCAATATTAAATATTCTTGTGGAACATTTCATATGGCCCAGTGTCTTCAAGCCAGAAACCTAGCTAGGTGAACTTCCAGCTTCTCACAGATTCCAAAAAAGACATCAATTTATATCAGCTGAGCATCTAACCTTTTCTGCTTAAATTAACCTACAAAGGTAGGTTAATAATATGTGCTTTAAACATATCCAGCTAAGATTAATTTTATATTTAAAGCCTGTCTTGACAAAATCATATTACACTTTGAAAAGAGTTTTAATCTCATGGTACAAGGGTACAAGTACCTGAAAAGCCCTTTGAAGCCTCAGAACTCCTAAGTCCATATGTAGATTTTTAATTGCTATTCAGATTTCCCATCAATGTTACTTTTACTTACAGGTATGAGAATGAACTTTTCTCACTGGAGCATCTATCTTGCTGTGACTGACAGTAAAATCTGAAAAACTTACAGCCATCTTATCTTAAAAAAACATTAAAAAATGTTTCAAAAACTCAGTATATTTTAGTATTTTTCTGACTTAGCTTCTCCTAGATCCAACTTTACTGGGATCAAAGTGTGCTGCATTTTGGAATATCTAAATTTCCTGGCCTGTTGGAAATGTAAAACATTACTTCTTTCATATACTCTTAGGGGCACTAATAAGTTAGGCCATTACAGAATTTTCAAACAGCTTCAAACTTTTACAAGTTTTGCAAAAATAGAAGATATTACAGTTCTTGATTATTGTTTTATTGTGGGACCAAATGTCACCTGTGACTGTGATGGAGTATCTATTTGAACATGTCAGAGTTCTTTTTTAATCTGAATCTGTAACACTTAAATGCCAAGATTATTTTTCAAAGCTAACACTTAAAATATTTGCTGTACTAAGCTCCTCTTAATTTCTCTAAAATTTCTTAATTAAATTTTGAATACTGAATATCTCAGATTATTTTCCAAGAAGAATATTCTTCAGCAGTTGTGCTCTCAATAGCTTCGAGAAAGAAGATATTTATCAAAATGTTTGGCTTTCTGCAGACAGACACATGAACGGCCACAACTTCAGTAATTTAACATTTGTGAACACAACATCTGCCTTTTCTTCTTCCCCCAGCTCTCATGCAATGGGCATTTTATGTGGGTCTGGTTGGAGTGTGTGCATTATTGGAGCAAACTTTGCTTTCCTAAGTCAGTTCACTCTCCTCATCATCTCTCCTTCTGCACCACAGCTGAAAGGAGTGAAACATGGCTTTATCCATGAAATGTCTCCCATGTACATAAAGGCCACCAGTGGCATCTTCAGTTTCTGAGGACTGGGTTTTTTTGGCCTGTAAGTAAACAGGACAATAGCTGCTGCTTGTGACAGTCAAAGCACAGCCTAACAAATTTCTAATATTCCTTTCTAAGGCTGTGGACAATGTATAAACACACCATCAGGGCTTTGCCAATTTTGCCTCAACAGAAAGAAATTAATTTAATCAGTTTAAACAGCTGGACTGCAAACGTCCTAAGAAAAATCCTTCTACTCTTTAGCTGTAGGAAAGGAGCGCAGCTAAAAGTCAGAAGAATTTGGCTCAATAAAGATTTAGATCAAATAAGTGGAGCCTGTCAACTTCTCTTTGCTGTTCTCTGGGCAATGGGAGGTAGGAAACAGCTGGAGGAGAGAGGAACTACCCTGAGGTTTTCTGATATGCTCCCTCCTCTCTCTGTTTTAGCACAACAATCATCTGATTTAAGTTTCCTTTGTGATTAGACAGGTGGGTGCACTCTGTAAGATCTCCTATAGGATTTAAATTGGTCTTGTGCTTTGCAGCATTGCTCATTGTGCATTGCTATATTCATTTGAAAGCATAATATTTTATCTCCTAACTCCTGTTGTGTGGGCCTTGATTACTGAGACATTTTGTGTGGTCTGTGATGGGCTAAAGTGTCTCAAGAGAGATACATCCAAGATCAGGCCTCTGCACTGATTTCACCACAAAGTTCAGACATTCAGCTATAAGAGCAGAAATTTTACTCTCCAGTCTCTTTTTTTTTTTTTACTAGCAGACAATCTTAGTGCAGATATCAAAAGTCATTTTTATATTAAATTTTTATTCCATTGGCAAAAGTAATGTTGAATGGGAACAGCAAATCTACATTCTAACACTACTGCAATAATCAGAACTACCTTGTCAGCCCCTAGCTGGTACTTACAGGCAGTTTTCTGCACCATTTTGGCAGCTATGTACAATTAGTACGAATGCAGGAAAATGAAAAGAAAAGCAAAGATGAAATTTAAGAAAACATAAAGGGGAGGGGTGAAAAAGGACAGTCATTTACAGAAGTGCTCTCAAAAAGCTTAAGCAAAATAAACAAGGCAGGGCAGGAGGATATATGGAAAGGGACACTCATTATGCAAATGAACCTTTCAAAAAGGAAGCATGAATGGGAAATAGGAAACACACACTCCTCACCCTTGTTTGCTGCCTTGCAGGCTGCAAACACACAGACATGGTTTGCAAATCTCCTTTCATGCAGCCCAGTAAACACTGGAAAGTAGGATCCTTTATTTGGGTAAGGTCTGCTGCTATTACCATTGCCTACCCCTCCTGTTCCTTAATTGATTCATAAATTAGCATGTTTTATAAGTGTAGCCTTGGTTCAGCAATTCATGTGCCTGGGTGAAAGAAACCCTGCATGCACAGAGACTTTTGTCACAAAAGCTTAAAACAAAGACAGAGTCTTACAGTAGGGATGAAAATATTTATAACATAATACTTCTGCTAATATTTCTTTGGCATGAAAATGTATTTCCCCACCACTACTACAGAAAGTACATTTCTGTCGTCAGTGCATCACAGAAAACATTCTCTCCCTCATATGAACTGTCCCCAATATCTCAGTATTATGTCCTACAGCAGGGAGATTAAAAGTTAAGTACCACTGGCAGATAAGTGAGGCCAAGGAAGACTATTTGGAAGCTGAGACACAGCTATGGAGGCAACAAACCCAGGCAATTACGTAAGTTCACAGGGTACCTGGCTGCCTGAGTGCTGCTGTAAACACAATGCTCACTTGACAGAGCCTAAGAATGATCTTATTTTTTTAATTGATGCAATGTTATTTGATGACACAAAGGCAAAGCCACCGTAGATTACAAAATTTTAGTATTTTACCAAGACTATTCTGATGTACATCATATGGCAACACCAGCATAAACTGTCACTTCACTGACACAGCAAATTGTGATGTTCTGAGAGATCTTTGCCTTTACACTCTTGAAATGTTCCCGTTAGGCTACAGGTTCTTAAGACACTGAAAATGACAGAACTTAATGCTGTGAAAGTGAAAAGATGCTTGTTCCCCTTCCCACTTTTCTTCTGGCTATAAACTTTCACTGCTTTTCTGGATTTGTGCTTGTCAGAGTCTTTGTGAGCTGCTTAAAAACTGACAAAAATCCAATTTACAGCTAAAGTAGCCCACTAAAGGGTCACAGTGAACTAGCAGAATGCCTCAGCTGCCAGTAAAATTGCAGCTTGAGGCCAAAATCTTTCACTCTCCATTTTCTATTTTAATAATTATTCAGGGTATTTGCATTTAAATATGTTTGTCTTGTTCCTTATTTTCCTGCAAGCCTCTGAAGTGATGTCATAATTTCATGCTTATGATACTGTAATTACATTTCAATAGAAACAGGCTGCAGTGACAGGGCTTCTGACTTTATGTTTGGATGATCAAGGAAACACCTAAGAGACTTGGAATAAATTCATGATCAAATCTAATTGATTAAATACTTTAATATCATGCTTTTAAAAGGGCTAAGCAAATAAAGTGTTTGCAAAAATACTGTTTTTCCTGTTGTGAACTAAATCCAGAATTGCTTGATATCATCTTTGAAATCAGTAGCAATCTGCTGAGTGGGTACTTCATAAAAAATAAGTAGGAAATGGAGGTTATGGACCTCCATGAATACTTAGCATTATTTCACAAGTAATTGCCCCTCTGGTCAAAGCTTCCAATTCTCAGAGAACAGTCATCAAAATTAATAAGCCTATTTGTGACATGTATTTGCTGTGCAGGAAAAATTCTAAAGCTAAAGGTGGGGTGACAGCGGAGTCCTGAACACCCATTTCTTCAGCTCAGACCAGCAGTAATCCAGTGCTGAGCACTTGGAATTGGGTAATTTGTGCCAATTATTTGTCAAGGATTTGGAAATGGATCTGTGAGGTAGGGCAAGGAATGAAACAAAAGAATATGTACTTTAAAATATACCACGTGGATCCTTCGACTTGAAGTTCACCAATTAACCAATTTTGAATTGGTTAATGAACAAGAAATGTATCTCAACCCACTTGAATGCTGTCATTCAACTGTCTTTCTGCCTCTCCATTTACAGACAAGGAAACAACTAAAGAGCCTGATTTGCATATTTGAATCTCATCCTTAATTCTGGCTCTAATAAGACATCAGACTGCAACATACCTCATTAATGCCTGGGGTAATTGTAGGTGCAGCAATAAAAACAACAAAAGGAGCAAACTCTGCAGTTCTCAGGACCTTCAATGCCTAGGTGAAAAAAAAATCACATGCTTTAGAGGAAACCCCCAACAATCAATGTGAAGTAAGTTTAGTCACACAAGCAAAATACACAAATTTATGACTTACCAATGCTGGATTTGTTTTTAACTGAACTGGAGTCAAAACCTTAGTAGTACAGACACTTAACTTTTTGTATTATTTTGCATTTTTGGTGGTCAAAACGTATATTTATCCTTAAGTAAAGTGAATTTATGAGACAGTAAAGGCTTTAGCATTTTCAGAGAGGTTCTTGCCATATAGTCTCAAAGACTGTGGAATTCTGTTTGCATTTAATCTTACTGATTAAATACCACATAAAAATATTCAGTCATGCCATAAATAGGGAATATTGATTAGAATATAATTTTTTGTCTGACTTCATCTAGCAACTAAAACTTTTTAATTATTATTTTCTTAAACAAATGAAAATGTGATGTGAGTAGTTTGAAGTTTTTAAAGAGTGAGCATAGCACTAAATGCAGTAAATACAGCATCAATCCCCTGAAACAAATAATTCAAGAAAAAATTCAGGAAAAGTCATGTAACTAAGAGCACCCAAGGGAAAACCAGCAAGAGGTGTAAGATAACCAGGAATAGGTCCACAAACAGGTTGCCCTTAATGAGCTGAGATGGATGAATGAGGAGGCTGGTTAGGAAAGAGGCTTGCTAGACATGTGCTGGAGGAAGTGCAGCAAAAGCAGCTGTTACCAGATGTAAATACATCCTAACTAAGATTAAAATGGCTTCTGAGAATTGCACTGCTTTTGAATAATGCACGTTGAAAAGGTTTATCAAGAGAGTTTGCTGTTAACAGCCGTTCCATTTGAACTAACTACAGATGCTGCTTTCCCTGAACGCTGTTAAATGTGGGATTTTATTTTTCAGAACAGCACCACACCAGCATACTGTGAACTGTCCTAAATAATTTAGTCAGGTATCTTATTTCTGTTACAAAAATCTTAAAAGCATTTGAACTTCTTGAATCCATTCACAATGAAGAAAGAAGTTAGCAAATTTAAATAGATAACACGGGTCACAATTTTATCTTTCCTCCCATTTCCTTCCACCTGCGAGAATATAAACATCACATTTGTCCATATTCATGATGTTTCATTTAACAAAATATAAAGATTGCTGTGAATTGGAAGTAATGACTACATGGATGTTTCAAAGGAAACATATCAGAATTTTCCACAGAAGATTTTATACAATGAATAAACAAACTCTTAGTGTTTCTCGAGAGCCTGATTTTTATTCCTGCCCTCTTTTGAAAAGGAAAATGCCACAATGCAGAAATGACTTCATAAAGTAACAACACTGATCTGGTCATTGCCCAAACAGGTTAAATATCAGTGATTAACCACAAATGTTTCTGTCTGTGCTCAATAGTGATACGCAGTTCAGAGTCAGCCTTGAGCAAGATTACCTTTTCATAAAGCATCAGAGAGAAATTTTTGAAAACATTACTCCTGGCTGGCAATGACAATGACTTGTTTTGATATGTTTCACTGGACATGAGGCCAATATAGTAAAAAGTTACATGGTAAGTAAATTTTCAAGCTATAGTGATTGCTAAACTATGAATTTGTTTCTGCTGTATGTTCTTCCAACCAGGTGATTACCAGAATTCCACTTCCCAGATCGATACCTTGGTGGTTCAAGAGCTTTTGTTCCACATTACTTATCTAGTGTGCAATCAATAAAAATAAATATATCTCAATATGATTAGGTTGAAGGATTTGTGATGAGTCCCATTTTTACACGTTTTCTAATTAGTTACCTGAGGTTCTACATCAAGTATTGCAATTAGTCCCTGCTCATGGATCTTTCGTATTGTTTCCAGTTTTGTCCCGTACATTGCATCCTCATGGCTGCCATATTCCAAATACTCATTGTTTGATATATCCTGCATCATTTGGTCATGTGATACAAAGTAGTAATTTTTGCCATTTTCTTCATCTTTCTTTGGAGGTCGGGTTGTATCTGAAAACACAAAATATTTTAGTACACAAGCAATATTAGGTTTTTATACGGCTTTCTTTTTTTTTTTTTGGTTTATCAATACTTATTCACTGAATGATGACTTGCCAAATCACATATGAAGCATGAGGTTGAGGTAGTCAGAATGACAGGCACCAGGAATAGCAGGAGTCTGAGGGATATGTATTGGGAAAAAGCAGGAGAGGAAGGGATGTAGAAAAGGTAAAAAATCAAAAGGCAACAGAAGAGCAGAAGGTCATAAATAACCTTTCCCTGGTCAAGACTGTAAGACTCTGTAAAACATCTCTTCACAATCTACTGCCTTTTCTTCCAACAACCCCACCATAATTTCAAACAAGGTATCCAAAAACTGAACTCATCTTCTACTTTTAGTTATACCTATTACTGTTCTGAGGATTAATTAGCAATGTTCTGAAGATTAATTAGGATATTTCAAAGATGAAAAGTTCTATAGAAATATTATAGATCATAGTTATTTTAAGAAATTCATGAACAATGGATTATATAAACCATATAATATCACTATACTACTCACTGATGTCCTAGGTCTACTAAACTTCAGATCCTCATAATTCTCTCAAATCCTCTTCTTTTCTAAAAACATTTCTGTACTTTCCTTTTTTTTTTTTTTAACTGAAGTTCTTATGAGGTTTTCTTCTTATGAGTGTGAAAGTATAAGTCTGAAAAGTAGGCAAAGACCTGACTACTTATGGGCCAAGAGAGATGAAAGCTACTTAGCAAATTCATACTTTTTGAATATCTTACTTCTACTGACCTATGTGGTAAGAGAAGTATGGCCTACTAATCTTTTTAATTAACTGCCATTGTCTGTGACATGACCTTTTTGATCAGGTTTTCACTTTGTAGATAATTTCTTCACAAAGCATTCCCCAAAACTCCGCACCCAACTTAAGGCCCATCTCAAAAACTACCTAATCTACCATGGTTTTGTAAAAGAATGCAGAAAATGCATCTTTTTAGTCTTCTTATGTAACCAGTGAAACAATTTCAGTGTTTCCACAGAGAAAGAACCTAATGCAGCCAACCTAAAGCATGATCACCATGGTATAGATGAGTCCATTTTCACAGTATTTGAAGATAAAATAACTAGTTCAGCTTCTCCCTCTCCACGCCAGTACAGTTAGTACCTGACAGAGACTGGGTGAAAAGTATACTGTAAACATTTATTAGGCTCTGATTTAGTTCTTTGCAATGGAGATCATATTTGCTGGGTTACTTACTACCTTCCCCCCATATAATCTTGTCTGTACTGAATAAGATAAGTACAATGCACACCACATACTCCTGGTACCACACAACTAATTGAGGATTTTAGTGTCTAGATATAAACAGTAGTGTGACAAACAGTTCAGTGTCACATTGCTGCTGGGGTGATCTAACAGCTCATGCTTTCAAAAGGGCCAGGTCTTTCTGTTTTCCTTCTGATAGATCTGCTCTTTATCTGACTCAGGGGAACTTAGATCAGCACCCAACTAACCCTTTCCCCATTCCAAATAGGTTTAGAGATAAGTTCTTAAAAGAATACTTTTAGCAACAACAAAGTCCTTATAGGTAGAAAACCACCACTTCTGAGCCATGAATGGTGTTTCTGAAGTCAGTCTAAAATAGAGTGGACAGTCAGGGACTGGATACTCTTGTTTCAGTATCCTTAGCTTGAGGAAAAAGGGTGCATCTCCAAGAGACCATGTAATAGGATATGCAATTCCTGCCATGGTATTGATAGACTGTCATGAAGGGAAAAACACCTCTTTGTAACAACCCACTTGTAAGCAGTGAAGTTAATTGTGTTTTCTTTTCCTTATTGTCATCTCTGGAAATTTGAGGTTGTTTTAGTAGTACCAGCCCCCAAGACTAAGCTGTGAGAAGTAATTAAAACATTCAGATAAGGTACACATTAAAGGTTTCCTCTAAATCCAGTTTATATGTCTTCTCATGGGAATCATACACAGCTAGAAATGAGAAATGTTTTATCCTTCATTCTGAATTAAGGAACATTTGGGTAGAGAGAAGCAAGAAGTTTTGTGAGTAACAAGAAACACTCGATGTAAAATTGGTGCTACTTTCCACCCCTCCCTTTGGTAAAGCAAAAGAAATACACCCAGTCCTAGCACAGTTCCCACCTTCAAGACTCGTCTCAGCAGAACTGAACACATGTAGTAGAACAACAGGGGTGTTGTCAAGGATGACAACAAACAATTTTGCAGTACATTGAACATTGCTACTCACGAGGAATGGGGTAAGCAAATCTGTCCGGATGTTTTGTGATGAGTGTGTTTTTTATGTGTCTTCTTCCGACACCGTGTGCACCTGAAGCACAACACAAACACAATTTAGAAATTTTCCACCAGAAGGGCTTCAGAACTATGTTGTTATGTTCAGAAAAATGACCAAAAATTACCTAGTAAGACTAGTGTTTTCCTTTTGAATGCTGGCAGCTTTACTACTTCTTCGTATGTGACGAGATCTAATTGATCAAACACTAAAACACAAAAGAAAGCCCCCAAGGGATAAGAAAAAAGGCATATTAAGAGTGACAATTAATTCTGCTACAAATTACAATTTTAGATTCATAATACAAAGTAATATAGAAAATAAAACCATTCATTATGCATTTTAACAAGAGTGTTCTTTTAAAGAACTGTTAAGAGCAGTAAGAAAGCTACTGAAATGCTCAAAGTTTGCATGTCCTTTCATGCAGTATTCAGCAGACCACAAAAATTAGCTCAAACAGCATGCCATTCACGTTTGCATTCCTAAGAAATGGCAATACTAAAGAAAAATCTGTAGACAGTGACCAACATGAATACAGTATGAGAACATCTATTTACACTGAAGATAGGGATACTTTCATAATAATGTTTTAACAAGATCTATGAGAAATGCATAGAGAACAGCGCTAATACTTTGTGGTATTTATTCTTTCAAACCACCACCCTTTAATTGTAATTAGAGTTCTCTTTAAACACATGTGCTAGTTAAGTTGACATGCTTTTAAGACTTGTGACAGAATGAAGAATTCTAATGGAAAGTGATGGCATTACATAAAAGAACCTCCACCATATTTAGGGAAAAATTGTAAAAGTATTATTTCAGATATAATTTCAACTGCAGTTGAAATTGGATGAATTCCATCATGCCTATCAATCTGTTGTCAATTGCCAAGGAATATAATGATTAACAAATCAAGTTTTGTTCATTAAAAACAACTTATTCCTCCTGTGCCCAATAACACATCATCTCTGGTAACTCTTGCAGAATTCTAATGAAAAAAGAAGCCAGGAGGCAGTTAATTATATTTGTAAAGATTACAGCAATCAGCAATTGTGAGCAGAATAATGAACAAGAGTTTTCAGTTCTGTACTTTTGCACACTATGAAAAGAAGGGAGGAGAGACTGCACCTTAACTACGGGACCTTTGAGTGTTTCCAAATCTCAAGTGGTGTATTCACCCCAACTATATCCCACTCATCTTTTAGGATGAGTCTGGATATATCCCTCTCCCCCATCCAAAACCCCTTAGGGAAGTAGGCAGTGGCAGGAGCTTTAGTTTGTTCCAGAAGTCCCCAGCCACCAAGATTCAGCATGAAGAGCATGGAGCCTACCAGAAAGCACAAGCTCTTTGTACTAAAGTCCCAATTAAAGCAGGGAAGGATTTAACTTAATGTATTTCTTTTTTACAGGTCACATTTTTCAATTTGAGAGAAAAAGTACAAATACTTCAGTTTGGTCAAACAACAAATTAATCAATTGACACACTCAACTGTTTAAGACCTTGAAAAGATACAGATATGAAAACTTCCTAGTCCATTTGAAGCATTTTGAATTTCATCCTAGAGAACAATCTCTTTCAACCTTTCCCCAAATCCTACAAACAAGAATTTAGTCATATTTTTCTTCCATTCCACAAACATGGAATTCTACTGTCCTTTTTGCAACTTTATAGTATTTAAACTACTTAACAATTAATTTCATACTAGAAAAAGCCAAAGATCTACAACATGCTAAACAGTTTTACCATTCTAACCATCTAGGCCTGAGAGTATCATTTTCCATCAAAAAATAACAGCAATAAAAAAATCCATCCTTTATTTTCTTCTTGAACAAAACCATGTTATGTTAGATACAAACAACAGGTACAAACAACAGAAATGACACATATTAATGCCTTTATCACAAACTAGCAGCATGGAGAAGATGCGTCTCAGTCTACATGGACTTAACTAATGATTGTAGGGTTTTCAAATGCAAAAGAAGAATGATAATTTTTTAAAAAATACACAAGATATGAGGAATACAGGGCACATTTAAAGACTGAACTTCAATGCTTCAGTGTTACTAGCTAATAAAGAAAAGGAGTTCTTGAAAGGAAACAGTAAGAAGCAAATAAAGAGGCATTGTCACTTGACAGGTTACTTACATGCACAGAGGCCATTGGGAGTAAGACAGCATGAAAAATGTACAGGGGTCATTGAGATATGGCTTGTAATATATTAGTAAAATAAAAAGTATATGCACAAAATAAACTTTACCATGCAATAGTCTAAACACAAGGCAAATAAATCACATTAAGAAATGATAAACATATTTTATAAAAGCTTGGCAATTTTCTAGATTATGCATAATAGGAAGCATAGCTCTAGTATGTTCTAAAGACCGTTCTTTTCTGAAGTCCTGCATTAACATTTCAGTAAAATAAATTAAAAATATATCTAGATACTCTGCAGTGTATCTCCAGAGCATTTATAAAAATATCAGCAAATCTAATATTGAAAAAATACTTCATTTTTTCCTGTGGGCTTTTGTTCAAAATTGTCTTTACAGTGATAAAACATATGATCATGAAATTGCCTAACACTCTAAAATGAAGCATGAGGGAAAGAAAAACAAGATTACATTTTTCTTGTAAAGAAGAAAGCATTTGCTTCTAATTCTAAAAAGTAACGGAAATTGTCTCCTCTTTATTTCATAAACTATGATTTGCAGAACAATCTCATGTCTAGTTCCAGTAATATCCCAGTATCCCACACAAGCTCTCAAATCATTAGCTGGCCACACAAATCTTAATTGACTCTGAAGTATTTTACTAAGTCATTTCTCAGCATCCCAGTTCAGTTTGAACCCCTAAGACAAAAATAACACGGAAGTACAAACAGATTACAGACTGCTGATCAATTTATTGAATTTTATACTAAGATACAAGAGAAGTAAATTCCACTTTCTTGTAAAAGCAATATTTTGACATTGATTATACTTATTTTGGATCCAACAGAGGAAAAGATTTGTTATTTTTTCTGAGACAAACGCACTGAAAGCTTGCAAAGGTCGGTGCTGGTTTATTTCTGACTAACAATACCAGCCATGATAGAGTAATTCAGAAAAGGCAAATTCAGTACCACCTTAGTTAAACTTAAAACTCGTGAGAGCATTTCAGTGAACCTCTTTTTATCCTACATTTGGTGTCATTCCCTGGAATATGACTGGCATCACCTCAAGGTCACTAAGATCAATAAATGTTTCTAAGAGAAATCTTGACTCTAATCCGTGCTTTCATTACCTTTGTGACTTCTTAGGGGGAAGGGGAAGTGCTATTCTGAAAAGAACAGGTTCTTTACGGTCATTATGATAATTTTTAATGTTCATGTTTCTAATTTTTGGCAAAGACTCTGCTCTGATGTGACTAACAGCACTGCTGGTGTCAAGCACTAAGGC